TGTAACTAATTTCAAGGTGGTGTGTATCCTCTCCTAATTATGTCCATTTTCATCCTTTGCTTGTCGTCATCCACCCCGAAACCCCACCATCCTTCCCGTGACCCTATTTGCTCACTTCGCCCTCCGGCCACCGCTACCCCTGCTCTCCCTACCTTCCTGCAATTGGCCTCATCCCAGCCCTCCTACAACCACTACAACAACCACAACCTCTGCAGATATTACCTACAGCCCCACCTAAACTCTCTCCTGCCTCCTGCCACAAACCAGCTTGCTCCTTTTTTTCCTTCGAGGGTTGTATCCAACCACGAGAAGATGCTCCACCTGTAACGCATCCCAAGGTAGTGTAAATTTTCCCCTAATTCCTCGCCTACTTCCCATCCTTTGCTTGTCGTCATCCACCCTGCAACCCCATCATCCTTCCTGTGACCCTGTCTGCTCATTTCACCCTTCAGCCACCACTAAGCCCCTGCTCTCCTTGCTTTCCTGCCATTGAACATCCCAGCCCTCCTAAAGCCACTACAATAATCATAGCTTCTACGGATATACCTGCAACCCCAGCTAAGCCCTCTCCCGCCACAAACTAGCCAGTCCCCTACTATTCAAACACCACCTCTCAGGCCACCGTCAAAGGTCCATCAGCTCCAAAAGGTTCTGACCACTCTTGTGATCTTCATCAACATGCAGATTGAAGCTTCGATGAAAGATGTCAAAACTCTCCCAACCTCGAGAGACTGCAGAGGGCTAAATCGGCTGGGCAACTTGGACAGGTTTAGCAAAGGAGGTGCAAAGATCCGTAGACTCCTATTTTGGGGATAAGGTTGTTCTCAAAAGGGAGGGGTCTCCCCCACTTAGTTATCTATTATATATATTCATTTTTTTTTTAATTTTAGGTTTAATTATTTGTGAGATTTTTGTTAGACAGTCACTGTCGTCATCCTTTTTTCCCTTCAAGAGTTGTATTCGATCACGAGAAGATGCTCCGACTGTAATTCATCCCAAGTTAGTGTCTATCCACCCCTATTTCCTCGCCTACTTCCCCCATCATTTGCTTGCCTCCATCCACCCTGCAGCCCCACCATTCTTCCTGTGACCCTGCCGCCCACTTCGCCCTCCAGGCACGCTAAATCCCAGTTCTCCCTGTTTTCCTGTCATAGACCTAATCCCAACTCTCCTACAACCACTACAACAACCACAACCTCCGTGGATAAGATTGTTGTCAAAGGGGAGGGGTCTCCCCCTCTTAGTTATCTATTATATATATTCAATTTTTTTATTTATTTTAGGTTTAATTTTTGGTGATATTTTTGTTAGACAGCCACTGGCGTCCTCCCTTTTTTCCTTCAAGAGTTGTATCTGATCACGAGAAGGTGCTCCGACTGTAACTCATCCCAAGTTAGTGTGTATCTACCCCTAATTTCTCGCCTACTTTCCCTATCATTTGCTTGCCTCCATCCACCTTGCAACCCCACCATTCTTCTTGTGACCTTGCCGCCCACTTCGCCCTCCAGGCACGCTAAATCCCAGCTCTCCCTACTTTCTTGTCATAGACCTAATCCCAACTCTCCTACAGCCACTACAACAACCACAACCTCTGTTGATATTTTTTGCAGCCCCCTCTTAGTTATCTATTATATATATTCAATTTTTTTTTATTTTAGGTATAATTTTTGGTGAGATTTTTGTTAGCCAGCCACTGGCGTCCTCCCTTTTTTCCTTCAAAAGTTGTATCTGATCACGAGAAGGTGCTCCGACTGTAACTCATCCCAAGTTAGTGTGTATCTACCCCTAATTCCTCGCCTACTTCCCCTATCATTTGCTTGCCTCCATCCACCTTGCAACCCCGCCATTCTTCTTGTGACTTTGCCGCCCACTTCGCCCTCCAGGCACGCTAAATCCCAGCTGTCCCTGCTTTCCTGTCATAGACCTAATCCCAACTCTCCTACAGCCACTACAACAACCACAACCTCTGTTGATATTTTTTGCAGCCCCCTCTTAGTTATCTATTATATATATTCAATTTTTTTTTATTTTAGGTATAATTTTTGGTGAGATTTTTGTTAGACAGCCACTGGCGTCCTCCCTTTTTTCCTTCAAAAGTTGTATCTGATCACGAGAAGGTGCTCCGACTGTAACTCATCCCAAGTTAGTGTGTATCTACCCCTAATTCCTCGCCTACTTCCCCTATCATTTGCTTGCCTCCATCCACCTTGCAACCCCACCATTCTTCTTGTGACCTTGCCGCCCACTTCGCCCTCCAGGCACGCTAAATCCCAGCTCTCCCTACTTTCTTGTCATAGACCTAATCCCAACTCTCCTACAGCCACTACAACAACCACAACCTCTGTTGATATTTTTTGCAGCCCCCTCTTAGTTATCTATTATATATATTCAATTTTTTTTTATTTTAGGTATAATTTTTGGTGAGATTTTTGTTAGCCAGCCACTGGCGTCCTCCCTTTTTTCCTTCAAAAGTTGTATCTGATCACGAGAAGGTGCTCCGACTGTAACTCATCCCAAGTTAGTGTGTATCTACCCCTAATTCCTCGCCTACTTCCCCTATCATTTGCTTGCCTCCATCCACCTTGCAACCCCGCCATTCTTCTTGTGACTTTGCCGCCCACTTCGCCCTCCAGGCACGCTAAATCCCAGCTGTCCCTGCTTTCCTGTCATAGACCTAATCCCAACTCTCCTACAGCCACTACAACAACCACAACCTCTGTTGATATTTTTTGCAGTTCCATTCCTAGAATGGCAAAATAAACAATTGCAATAAGTCCAAATGTTGCACCTAATAAAAGCATCAATGATTATATTCCATGCAATGGCACTATTATGATGAGATAAAATAAAATTATACAAAGCATTATACCCTGGGGCATTTGACGTGGTGCTTCAATAAAGTCATGAAAAAAATGTTATACTATATTATATATGTTTTGTCATATTTTATACTTATATTTAAAAGAAGTAATAAAACACCTAAAAAAAATTAGAAAATAGGTATAATGAATTACTTAATTATATTATTAATTAGTTGTTTTACTTTAAATTATACTGAATCCAATGTTAATTGTTATAATAAGAAGAAAACTACATTAATAGAAAAATATTTGGAAAATGCCAATGAATATGACATGATAAAACTATTATACATAATAACTCTTACAAAGATCATGAAAACTAAAAAGAGGCTGAAACTCTTATTCTCATGGCAAATTTAAATTTAACATGTTTACCTTGAACTATGTTTCAAGGTTATATTTTATATTATTTAAAATTGAGATTTGTTGTTTATAATTTCATGTGATGAACTAAACTGAGAAGTGTCAATAATTTCATACATGAAAATTCCTTTAATATTTTTTTTATATTTCTACTTCAATGCTTACTTCATACATGAAAATTCCTTTTAATTTTTTTTTATATTTCTACTTCAATGCTTACACCTTAATCCACCACGATGCGTATGTTTCACCTCACCAAAGAAAAATGCATTAATTCCTGATTTCACCTTTTTAAAAATTTACAAATAAAAGTGTAAAATCAAAATGTGCGACTATTTGGTTCCCATTAATATCCTAAGCAGTAGAATTCTTAAATTACAATTAAGTTTTGATTTCAAACTCCCCAAACTTAATTTCTTTCCGTTCATTCTTCCAAGAAGATCCTTGATCTATGGAATGGGTCAACCGCAACTGGTTTTGTGAAGATACTTTCAACTTGATCATTTGTGCACGTATATAAACTCCATTTCTCCATTTGTGCACTTATATTTTATCATATATAACTACTTCATCAGAAATTAATTTTTGTTTAATAACAAGAAAAATGAAATTAAGCTCATTAGTTATGTCATAGATCTCTCGCAAATTTCTAGTTCTTTGTTACCTTGAATTGTCTTTCAATGTTGTGCGAGATGACAACATAAAATCTTCCCCTTTCATAGTGAACTCTTTTAGAATGTAACCCTTGCTTTGCTGAGAAACTGAATGTTTATACCAATAACGTGAAGCATAACTGTAATACTCCTTGCATTTATAAAATTGAATCATTGATATGCCATACTTTGGATTCTTCCCTTGTTTACATACTCCTCTAGGACTTTCATTTCTTATTATCATTATTGTATCCTCTCTGTCCTTGACCACAATTTCCTCTTTGTTTTTTTTTCTAGTTTATCATTGAAATCTTCTTTCCCCTCAAAATAAAACCTTCTTTGATATAATTTTCATCAAAAGCTCTTGCCTTTTTACCCTCCTTTATTCAAGCGCTTGCAATAAAGCTATAACTTCATCAGATCTCATGTCCTCCAAATCCTTTTGACTACTCAATACCCACATCAACCCAGTTAAAATTTCAAATCAATAATCCAAAATTTTCTATAGAATTCCAATATATTCCCCTCCTTTGTTGGCTGATTATAACTATAACTCTCGTAAAATACTTCAAAATATTTTCAGAATCCGACATGGCTTCAAACAACTGTAAAAGGAGAGAGCGGAAGAGAATCGCCTCCAGTCAAAACTAGACGACAGAATCTTAGAGAGGAGAACGTAGCTGACAAATCTGAAGTAAGAGAATTCCCCCATGGCTCCCTCGCAGAGCAACCACCCATTTCTTATCCAGCCTCTGTTGTATTTTGGCTGTGTCATGAGAACGGGATGCTCTCTCTAATTATAAATGATTAAAAAATTCTTATAGGGACAACGAAGCAGAACAAACAACTTCAAACGAAAATGCAAAACGATGAGCAAATTAAAATAAAAATCCAAGCTTTTCCTCCTCGTTTAAAAAATTCAAATTTGCTGAGAATAAAATAAAGCCACCGCCGAACAACCCATTAAAATACTAAACAACATACAAAACCAAAGCCAAGTACTATTATTAAAATAACAACCAGAAGTAAATGGCGGCTCTGAACTAACCAAACTTTGCTCCTCGAATGCATAAAACTAAGAGAGAAATTAAACAAATAACAGGCTAAAGCTCCAGCAACCCACCGTCATTGTCACCGCCGGCGACGCAGAAACCCCAAGCAATAAACAGAAGCAGAACCAGAGATAACGACGACCTCCTGCCCTGCATTACCGACAACGCCATTCCCACGCTTGGAAGCGTATCAGCTTCAGATCACTGGAGCCGAAAACGGTCACTCGTTGTTGGAGAAAGCAGAGTGAGAGATGGATGATGAAGCCATGACGACGGAGAAGTTTACTCGTATTGTCACATCGATGGGGCAGTGCCTTTCATCGCAAGCCCATACAGCTAGCCTGCAGGGCTCTGCAGCTACTAGCTAGACGCAGCTACTAACTCTCTAACTAAAATGCACCTTTCTGAGCCCATTTTTGTCTCTCCAAAGATCCAATCTTTAAACGGCTCTTCGACCTCTCTCTCTATAACAATTAATTTCTTTCTTTCTCTATCAAGCCTTCCTCCGCATAACTTAAAGCAGCTTTCTTTGCCTCGAATCTCCCTCTGCATCAGCTTTCTCTCACTAGGTGTGTATTTCTCTCACTAAAGTCACCTCTCTCTCTCTCTCTAAAGGAACAGCAGTTTGCAGTTGCAGGCATGGAGGGTGGCAGACGACAGATAATGGCCTTTTACAGATTTACCCTCAAAATGATATTTGATAAGCCCACTCCTTTTTTTGTTTAAGTTATACCGGAAATAAGCCTCAGCCACTCCACAATTGAAGAGGAGGAGGAGGAAAATGGCGTGGGTTTATCTGCAGATCTACCGAGGTGGAGGGGAAACGTGTGGGAAACGGATCGTGTTCCCGAGCGGGAGGGTAAAGATAAAAAACGCATTTATTGTTCATAATTAATTCGAATTTCTCTGTTTATAGATAATTTAAATTAATCGGAGAATATTTGATGTGCATAAATTTTATTCTGGCGAGTACATATTTTCTATAACTCGTGGAAAAACTCGTCGCCTAGCTTTTAAAAAAGTCTTATATTGACATCCGAAGTCTCGGTCGGATGTTTTAAAAAAGTCTTATTTATCTCGGTCGGATGGAAAAACTCGGGCTCGATGGATTCTCCGGATGTATGGAGTATGGTCTCTAAATATTATAATGGGAGTTAAACATGTCCTGTATCATGATCGGTGTTATCATGTGATGGATTCTCCCGAACAAGATTGAATCATTGTAGACCTTGATTTTGTGCTCCGTATTGAGTAGTCTAAATGGATTTCTCGAGCTATTGGATTATATGTAGTAAATAGTCTCAAGTCAATCAAGTGAACATCCTGCACTAGTAACATCAAAAATTGATGTCAATAGTCGGCAGGTTCCACCGATCAAGTTTCAGACGGCAAAAAATTTTCAAAACCAACCAAAATCCCAGCCAGCTCCGCAATTCCCGTAGCCCGTTGGAGACAGTTGCCAAAAGTTCTGTCGGTCGCTGAAAATCTCAATAGGTTGCAACTAATCAATCCGACCAAAATCTGCAACATCCCACTAACCGAAACTTTTGTCAAGTGAACATAATCCCGCCGATCAACTCATCTGCTGACCGGCAATATCATAAGGCCGAAAAATCAGCCAACGAAGGATGGAGAGCACATGCAGTTTCTCGGACTGTCTAAGGACGAATTGACGTCGACAAACTTCTTCACGCGAACGCGGACATACTTTTTCATGCTAATGCCGACAAACTTCTTCATATGAACGTCGACAGACTTCTTCATCAACTAAGTCGCTGACGCCGACCAACATTTTCATGTGAATATCGGCAGACTTCTTTCCATGAACAGACAACAACAAAAAAACTTTCGGTGAACCTACAATTCTTACTGATCGAAAATTTATTGCGGCAAAAAAATCTAGCGACCGACAATTCCGGACAACAAAAAAATTCTGGCGATCGAGAATTTCAAAAGACCGAAAAATTATGGCGAACAAAAATTTTGGATTCTCATGGTGACCAATATTTTTTTGTAGGCTACCGAAAATTCCAAACGACTAATAAATTGTAAGCAACTGGAAGAATTGGACAAGCAATGTGCACTTTTAAAAAACCGAAATATCTGATAATTTTATTTTATTTTTTTAAAATATATAAGACAACTCTATTAATTATGTTTTCATAAGTCCGACCGAAATTGTGGGCACTCAAAGTGTTCACATGAGACACTTGGAGAATTATTATATGACAGAGCATATACAAGACTCACCCCCAGGGTGAGCATACTATTGATCATCAACGACAAGCATAAAAATTCATGTCTCTAAACTCAAAGCAGGTTGAAAGCTTTGGAAATGGTTTCCTGCTCAGTTGTGACAACCTCCACGAAGTGTACACCTCAAATTACCACAGTTGCAAATCTCGTCGGTGACCCCCGCTAAGACAGTGATAAGATTTGTCTAAGACATAGCGAATGCTGAGGCCCGACGAGGAGATGAATTGACTGAGCAAACGAGACACAAGCTTTATAAGACTTGAGCAAAGCGGTCAGCAAACTACAATACATAAAAAATGAGTAAATGTCTCTCCAAAGATCTGAGTCGTCAACCAAACCAAAACATCCAACTATCGCAATCAAATTGTCTAATAACGGTAAGATACAAAATAAGCAAATGGTAAAAACTAATTCAGAGCTTTATTTATTTATTGAATAAATTACTAACACTTCTTTACAAGTGTTGACTAAAAATAGACCCGAAAAGGCCTCCGGAGAATACTTCGGTGCAAGGGAAAATAATGTGATAAGAGATGCTTAAATCAATGGTGCATGAATATGATTGTATTTTTGCAAGAATATTTAAAGTATCTTACTCTTATCGCAGTTTCACTTCTAAGAAGTAAGAGACTTTGGGACATCTATGTATGACCAAAAAATGCATTTGAATATGATTATGTGCTTATTAGTAAGAAAAGATGTCAATACGTGAATAATAACTCCCAAGAGCAAGTTCATACTAGTATATTTGTCCTCCTATAATATATAAATAAGAAAATTATTTTATGCATAAGGGGACTCGTATCATTTCTTACTCTCTCATTCCCATGTAAACAATCTTTTAATATATGAAAGGGGTCACCGAGCCCGAGGAACACCCCCACTTTGCTCTGATGGGGGCAATCACGACGTCACATTCTCTCTCTCTCTCTCTCTCTCAAATAAAAGATATTTTTTAATACAAATATATATTAAAAATATGCAAAATTATTTTTAAATAAAAAGGCATGTACATACATAATGCAAGATTCTTATTTATTTACATATCAAACATATAAACAATACTTTTTATATTTATACCACCTAAATCTTTCGTATAACATAAAAAATATCAGTATTTTAATTTTTGTGTTCATACATCATAACAGTCACCACAAATCACAAAGTATCCGAACGACCCAGACTACGGTCGACAACTAAGGTGTTGTACCATCCTACTGCCAATCACATGATTGAGTATCAACTGACACATCATGGAGAAAGACTTGAGCGACAAGCCCAATCGACTGTGAAGCAGGCAAGAATCTTGATCACGGCTAATTGGTCGTCCTGCCTTTACAGCAGCGGACGAGATCGACATTGGACCGGACGCCTCAACCGACCAACATGTATTTCAAATAGCACAATTGCCACAAAACCGGACGTCTCAATCGGTCGAATTCAAACAAGCAGGCCAACCTATTACTGTTATGTTAAACTTCAAATTGCAAATAGATATATTGTATGAAATCCATACGTTTAATAAGAGTATCTATTGTATTAAGAGCGTTTCATAACCGTTTCCCCCATTTTAGTAATTGTACAAAATACTCTTATATAAATATGAGCAAAAAATATGAATAAAGAGACATCTTTTCCCAACTCATCCTACAATAAATTCTAAATTTATTATACTCTCTCTCTTCCTCCGTCCGACTCTAACGCTCGAGGCGTATTTATAATACTCAAATTAGGATCCCACATTGTGATATCATTATTTTAGATTTTAAAAAGTGAAATACACATTTAAATGCATAGTTAAGATGGTCTGCTAAATTACTGATAAATAAAACAACGGATATAGTGGAAAAAAATATTACCTCAGGAGTATTGATGCATCAGTACTCCAATGAGAATGTGTCATATATGCAATAGTCCCACCATAATGCCACGTGGCACCTCCCCATTATAGCACTGATGCATCAGTATTCCTGTGGTAATATTTTTTCGGTAGAGTGAGCCTTCGGTGGTCCCATGTGAAGTTATGTTTTTTAAGCCAAATGGTGGGCGTAAGACCTGTAAAGGTCGTCTCACTTCGGAAAAATTATTGCATAAGGACACTGCATGCAGAGATGCATGCAGTGTCCGATCTACACCGTAGATCACGGTGATCTACGATGATGATATATTTTAGTGGGCCCTATTTTAATTTTTTTTTATTTTTTTTAAAATTTGAATGCATCCTCACCATATATCACAATGATCTATGGTGTAGATCGGACACCACATCTCTGCATGAGGTGTCCGTATGCAATAATTTTTCCTCACTTGGAATATAACAAAAAATATATTTTTTAAAATAAAATCTTAAATTGCTTTATCTTTATTTATGAAATAGCATTTTACAAATTTAATCAACTCGACAATTTATAAAATCCTAATTATATTGAGTGTCCCATGATTTTTTTTTTTTTTAGCTTAGAAAGATTTATATGCATACCATGGAATTCATATGTATTTACATAAATAGCGTCTAAATTTCAATTTTTACATATATGCCACCTTATTTATTCATAAAAAGTTGTATTCTACTTTGAAAAGCAAAAAATGATGGCATCTTTTTTGTGTGATATGAAAGATTTGGGTGGTATAAATGTTAAAATTAAAGTTTAGGTATTGATAGGTAAATACATAAGAATTGGGTGATATGTATGTAAATGACCCTTTACATAGGGGACCACTTATTTGATTGTATGAGTTGAATATGTAGAACTTAGAAGGGAAAGCTTGTGCCAAAGCAATATAAATCAAAATGATCATCACCAACTATCTAATTGAGTGGTTTTGTTTTTGATATTTAAGTTAGAGTTGTAAGGTTTTGATTGCATTCAATAATCATGTATTTAATGCTTAAATTTTTGAAAGAGTTGCATACATACCACTTAATTGCTATGTATTTACATATCTAATACATAAACTTCAATGTTTCCCATCACCTTAAACTAATTTGTGTGGATGAGTTAACATCCATGTTTGGTTCCACTAAGCAGGGTACAAATCATCTTCGAATCTTTCATGGAGTCGAGAAAAAATTTAACATTCATTGTCAGATATTAGATTTTGAACTAATCGCTAAGCGTCATTTCTTTTGTTTAAGCGGTATAATTAACATTTTGCGACCATCATTTATTGTTCTCTGCTCGAAGTTGTTTCTCCAGTCATATAGAGGTATGTGTTTCATTATTCCCCGCAATGTGTATTTTTTCTTAAAAATGATCAACAATATATTTTAAGTTTTAAAAGTTTTCGGTTGTGTGTAAAAATTCTCTTTTCATTTTTTCCTCCATTTATATATGTTATTTGATATTGAACTCTTAGGTTTTGAATGTTTTATTTATTTAACATATACTTCATGTTATGATTTATGATTGGTAATTTTAAACTATTTATATTAATTTTAGAAAATTTTTCTTAAGCTTTAATAAGTGGATCGTTATT